GAAGAGCGGAGCCTGTGACACTGGGATCTTAACTCCCTGTCTCCTGCTGCCTCCTGCCTGCTCTGGACCTCAGCCTTTTCCCACTGCTGCTCGAGATTTCCGATGCCCAGTGACATCTCATCCACCCCAACCAGGTGTTTCCTGCCACCTCCCCGCACCCCAGCCGTCCCCTCCCTATCCCTGGAGTCCAAGATCTGGCCCCTCCTTGGGGTGAAGACGGAGGTGCAGTATGAAATGCAGTCCATGCAGGGACACCTGTGCCCCAGCACTGTCCTCCGGTGCTGTCTGTCCTGCGCATAGCCTCTGTTGTTGTTGTTTTTTTTTTTTATAGTAAATGCACTGTAGTGACCATAGTGCAAGAACTTCTGAGAAAAAACATGATCCATAAAGTCTTTCCCCAACTGCCACACACTTGTTTCAATTTTCCTGAGCTATTTTCATGCGCTGATTTACATTTCAGACAGTTGCCAATACAGCAAAGAAGTCTGTATTTTTTAAAACTATCTAACATAAACTTTTCTGCAGTTATTAAAATAAAATGCCACAATAAACACTTTGAATGCATGAAATGCCTTTGAGCAGATCCACCTTTCTTTCCATAGGTAGGAGTTTCTTGTTAGAGTCAGGTTTTCCTGGCTTTGCTTATGAGGACAAAAACACACACCCTCTTCTTGTTGAACCCGTGTGGAATTTTTTACCCTGAGTTACACATTACTGTTCATTTTTATATTTTTAAGCAACGCTTGCTGACATAAGAGTACCTGTACCTCCAATTGTGAGCACAAACACACAGATACCCTCCATCACCCATATGTGCGTGCATGTAAACACACACACAGATGTACATTAAAGGCACAGTATATACTCAGGTCCATCACCCCAGATGCAGCCTACTAGGATGTCCACTCCACAGCAAGGTCAGGACACTGCCAGCCTCACTCACAGTCCACTGGAAGGTCACCCTTCAGCAGCTGGGCCTCAGACCAGGAGTCCATGGGTCGCTCAATTGAACAACCCATCAGCCCGAGGCTAACCTTTGACCTATGACATCACTTGCTACCAACAAAGATGCTAGGCCCTGCGGCTGCCTCAAGGATGTGGGGAGCACTGCAGGGACAGGGGCTGTGAGCTGCTGGGCTGGCACTTGGAGCAAGCCCAGAGAAGCCATGCAGCGATTGTGGGACGTGGCAGCTGAGGCCACGGAGAAGAAAGCAGAGCTGCAGGCACAGAAGAAAAGGTGAGGGAAGTCCCCTTGGGGAGGGGATGAAAGAGCTGAGAGCAAGATGGCCACAGTCACAATGCCAGGCACTAGAGCAGACCCCACAGACTGCTGACACACAGGTGGCCTAGACTCAGGGCAGCCTCCAGCCATGCACATGCCACAACTCCCTCTGGGTGCCCTGGCACCCTGCCTACTGTGGGCAGGGTGTGTTCAGTATCCCAGGCTAGCTCCACTTTGCTTTGCTTCTGTGCAGCTGTTTTGGGGTTTCCCGGGGTCCACTGAGCGCAGAGCAAATGACATATTGGAGCCATTATCCAGCAGTCCCTGGCAGAGCTCCTCAGAGCAGACAGAACGGGTGCTGGGTACCTGTGGTACAGTAGGTGAGAACAACTGATGCCCCTTGGATGCAGCTTATCCAAGGTACCCATTTTACAGAAGTGGAGACTAAGGCCCAGAGCGGGCAGAGCAAGCAGCTGCAGAGCCACGCTAGAGCTTCCCCAGTAGATGGCAGTGACCTATCTGAGGTAGGGGCAGGAGGGCTAGGGGACTGACACTATCTTCTCTCACAGCCTGGACAAGCAGCCCTTTCCTGAGCCCAGAATTTCCCTTCCCAGAATTCCTCTGCTCTTTGCCTACCCAATCCTTGGGCAAGTTCCTGGCTTCCACTGGCTACAGGGAAGCTCAAGGTGGCCCAGTGGTGGTGGTGGGGTGTTCAGCCACCATCCCAGAAAGACAGGTAGATGCTTAGGGCCCAGGGTCCCTGCCTAGTTTATGTCCATGCCCACTTCCCAACAGCACCAGGCCACATTTCGGCTCTACCTTCCACAAGGCTTCTTTCTGCCCCGGTGCCTGCCCTTGCTGCAGGCACTGCCCCACCTCAGCCTGCAAGAGGAAGTGACCCTAGAGCCAATCTGCAGGCCTGGTTGAAGTTCTGAGGGAATTCCGGATATGGTCATTCCCTAGTCCTTTAGGTCAACTCCACAGACCTGGTCACCTGAAAAATAGGGACCCATACGTCTCTTCTCCTGGTGGCCCTCCTACCTGTCCGCTCCTAGACCTCAGTCTTTTCCCACTGTGGCTGGAGATTTCTCCTGATGACCAGGCCAGATTGGGTGCCCCCAGAAGCTCCAGAGGTGCAGCTTGTTGTGCTAGGTAACAACCCATCCACTTCTGACCGGCTGTGGCACCTCCCTATGTGTCCCCACCCTATCTCTGGAGTCCAAGATCTGGCCTTTCCTTGGGGGAAGACTCTGATGGGGTCCTTGGAACAGCCGCCTGTGAGCAGCTGGAGTCCCCTGCTCTGACCAGCGTCTGTGTGGCTGTGAGGTGACCAAGTGCGTGCGGCACACCAGGCTCTGCCTTCTCAGATCACTCCCACGCCCACCCTCCCATATGGGTTCTTTTTTTCCCATCAGTGTGTGACAACAGACTGAGGATGGCTTGCCCCACAGCCCTGCTGGGTTTGGAGGGAGGAGGGCACATGAGGCCAGTTTGGGGCTCCAGAACAGTCTGGTGTGGGTGCCGTGTGACCCTGCAGTTTAAGCAGAGATGACACGACCACGCCTTAAGTTAGGTTCCCAGATCTCAGAGGAAGAGCCACAGCCTCGGGTGACACACCGGGACTGCGTGGAAAGGCCCTTCCAGCTGGGTCCTAGCACCACTGTCCTCCCTCCGTCCCTCCCACTACCAGGTCCTGTCCCATGGAGACAGCCCTGCTTTCCTTCTCAGATGTCTGCACAGCTACCTGGAGAGGCGCCTGGGAGGAGGAGGGCCGGATGGAGGGAGCGAGCCAAGGACAGGCAGAAGACTCGGGAGAAGGGCAGAGGGACTGCAGGGAAGAGCCTCTGGAGGCAGCGCTTCCGTGGCCCAGTCTCACTCCGCACGCCTTTCATGGCAGCAGAAAGACAGCATCTCAGGTGAACGCTGAGGGCTTTTCTGCTCCCGCATCATTCCCCTTTATGGCTCATGATTTAGTCGTGAGGGGAACAGTGGACCAGCAGCTGCTAGGGGACCCTCTGGCCTGTGATTCTCTGTAAGCATCATAGACAGTGGAGCAGGCACCAGCGTCCTCAGCGATGGTAGCAGGGTCTCTGGAGTACTCACAGGACACATGAGTGGGCTCGGCGTCCCTTTTGGTTTTTAATTAAATTTCCCTGGCTCTGATAGGGTATCTAGCAGTAGAAAGCCTCAGAGAACAACAGGGGCGCCTGACAGCGCCCCCTGCCGGTGACCACTCCCTCCCAGCAAGCCCCAGGAGACGCCCAGGAAGCACGCAGCCTGGCCGAGCTGCTGCTCCTTCACGGCGTCACCTGCTGCATGGGCCCGAGGTTCGGGGACACGGCAAAGGCACAGCCCGTGCTGGTCTTGACCTCGTCCACCGTGGAGCCCTCCCAGAGCTCCACCAGCGTCAGCCCTCTGTTCGGATGCACATCGAACACGGCCTTCTCCGTGATGATACGGTCCACGCAGCGCTTCCCGGTCAGCGGCATGGTGCATTTATCCAAGATCTTGGGGGTCTTTGCCTTCGTGCAGTGCTCCATAGTGACCACCACTCTGGTTTTGGCACTAGACACCAAATCCATAGCTCCGCCCATCCCTTTCACCTTCTTTCCCGGGATCATCCAGTTGGCCAGGTCTCCGTATTTGGAAACCTGCATGGCTCCCAGCATGGTCAGCTGGAGGTGTCCCCCGCGAATCATGGCGAAGGAGTCATCGCTGGCAAAGAACGAGCCCCCGGGGATCACGGTGACTGTCTGCTTGCCTGCATTGATGACGTCCGCATCCACCTCCTCTTTTAAGGGAAACGGGCCCAAGCCCAGGATCCCGTTCTCACTGTGCAGATGAACCATCATGTTGGGGCTGATGTAGTTGCTGGCCAGGAGAGGGATCCCTATGCCCAGATTGGCATACATGCCGTCCTCAAATTCCAGCGCTGCCCGCTTGATGATCCGAGTCCTGATGTCGCCTGCGTCCCTGCCCTGCGTGCTTTCCGCAGTCCGCGTGGTTAAACGTTCGATTCTTTTCTCGTATTTGGCCCCCTTTATCACGCGATTGACATAAATGTTGGGCACGTGGATGTCTTCAGGGGCGAAAGTGCCCACATCCACGATTTCTTCCACCTCCACCACCGTGACGTCGGCCGCCTTGCACATGGGCACGTTGAAGTTCCTGGCGCTCCCGCGGAAGACCACGTTGCCTGCGCGGTCGGCTCTCCAGCCCTTGACCAGGGCGAAGTCGGCGCGGATGGCGTGCTCCAGCAGGTAGTGCTGCCCGCCGAACTCCCGCACCTCCCGGGGCTGGCTCATGATAGCCGGGTGGCCGTCGGGGTAATAGGCGATGGGGGAGCCGCCCTCCTGCACCAGGGTGCCGTAGCCCGTGGGCGTGTAGAAGGCGGGCACCCCGGCGCCGCCCGCGCGGATGCGCTCCGCCAGGGTGCCCTGCGGGGTCATCTCCAGCTCCAGCTCGCCCGCCAGGTACTGCTGCTCGCACACCGCGCTCTCGCCCAGGTAGGAGCAGACCACGCGGCGCACCTGCTTGGAGGTCAGCAGGACACCGAGGCCGAAGTCGTCCACGCCCGCGTTGGTGCTGATCACGGTCAGGTTCTTCACGCCCGTGTCCCGCAGAGCGGCGATCAGGTTCTCCGGAATCCCGCAGAGCCCGAAGCCCCCGATCATGACGGTGGCCTCATCCGAGACGCCCTTCAGCGCCTCCCCGGGGTCGGTGCAGAACTGGACGCGCGCGGGGGAACTGGTGGCGAAGCGGCGCGCGCAGCCCAGGGACCACGCCGGCCCGGAGATCCCGGCGGGGACGCGGCTGCCCAGGGCCGCCGCCAGGAGCCGCAGCGCTGCCATCGTCCTGGCGGCTGGCGAGGCGCAGACTGGCTGGGTGCCTCCCCCGGGGCCCCCCGCAGCGCCGCCGCGTCACAGAGCCAGGAGGGCTGTGGCAGGACCCCACGTGGGGTCACGCTCTACTGGCGGCGCCTGCCTGGGTTCCCGCTGCCCTGCCTGCCTGGGAGCCTGGACAGTCACTCCAAATGCTGTGGGTTTCGAGAGGCTGAGTATGTAATGGCCAGGCACTGCAGGTGACTTTCCCGGGAGGGTGACAGCAGCCCTCAGGGAGCAGTCGCTGCGTGCCAGGCAGCACACCTGTTTCATCCCGCTGACCCGGGGAGAGTGAGGGTGAAGCTCACTGGGGGAAGGGAGTTGGGCTCCTCGCAGCAACTGGACTCACAGAGGGGTCTTTCAAAAACCTGAGCCC